TTACCCGAGCGGAAAGATTTCGCCCAGCACTCTCGGTTCGCCAGCCAAGAAGGAAGCAAGGACGGTAAGAGCATCTTCGCCAACCCAGTCTTCTGTCTTTTCGCTTTTTTTTTTTTTTTTTTTCGCGTGTGCAAAACCGGCCAAAGTGTCTGACGATCGACAATTCGCCTTTTTTGGAATGGTTCTAAGTGTTTTAAAATTGCTCAACGACTTTGCTAAAACGGTGGTTCACGACCAGTAGTTCGTGTGTACGTGTGTTTTGTAACTTCAAAATTACTCTTCTTTTCCATTTATCTTCCCAATCTGAATGTTAGGAAACTGTTGAAAGTATTCTTAACAAAACGGATCTATTTAAACCAGACCTTAAAGTTTATTCCGTTTTGTCAAGTTTTATCAAAGAGAAATTAACTGGAGTCTGCCCATCTAGAAGGACATATAATCATTGTATATATCATTACTATCATTAGCATTATTATAATTATTATTCATTATTGTTATCATTATATTTATTACATTATCATTATCATTATTATCATCATTATTATTAGTAGTAGTAGTATATTACATTCGTATTCGTATGCTAATGAAGTAAAGAGTATATGCGTATGAGAAGTAAGACTATATTTGTAAGTGTCTTAAATACACCGGTTCAGAACCCCTGTGCATTGATAAAAGATAATGATATATATTCCGCAGTCGAAACGATCTACTTACTCCTTTTCATCATAATAACATTTATCTACAAGTTAGTGTTTGTGTGTGTTTGTTTGTTTGTTTTTTCAATTTGGAAAATAAATATGAACAACAACAAAAAACAGAGAGAAGATTTTTTTTTGTCTTGTTTTCGTCAAACAAAGCGAAAAAGGAATAAATTAGTTTTTTTTTTTTGGGGGGGGGTCAAGATTTATCATTATGCATTTAACTTTTGTCTTGACAGATTATCATCATAGATATTATTATCTTATTATCATTATCATTATCATTACTGTAATAATTATTATGATTATCGTTATCATCATTCTTATCATTATCCTCATCATCATTGCTATCATTATCATTATCACTATCATTATCATCATTATTATCATTAATATTATCATTATTATTATCATTATTATTGCTATCATTAATATCATTATCATCATTTCTATCAGCATTGTCATTATCATTATTTTTGTCCTTTTCATAATTATCCTCATTATCAATATCATTATTGTCATTTTGATGTCATTATTGCTGTTAGTATTTGTATCATTGTTATTGCCATTATCATTAACATCAAATCGTAGTTAATGATAAGTCTTATTATTTTTATCACCAATATTATTATCCTCATAACTGTTATCAAAGCTTTTATATACCAATGATATTCTCATTATTATTATTATCATAATCATTATTTGTATAAGGAGTATTTTTATCATACCATTATTGTTACTTTATCATTATCACTATTATCATTATTCTTCTCATTATCATTATTATCATTACTATCTTTATTATAATAATAATTATTATTATCATTACTATCATTATCATCACTAGTGTCATTATCATCATTGATATCAATAATAATATATGATGATATTGGTATTGATATAATGATAATAATAATAATAATAATAATAATAATAATAATAATAATAATAATAATAATAATGATAACAAAAATGATGATAATGAAAATGATAATGATAATTATTAATATAATCATTATTATCATTTTATCATCATTATCATTATTATCATCATAGTTGCTACCAATAGTAATATTACTGTTGTTTTCATTGTTTTTATTATAATTGTTATCATATTGTTATCATTATAATTATCAATAGTATTATTGTTATTATTATCATTATCATCACTATAATCATAACTATTGTCATCACCATTATCATTATTTTCATTATCATTATTATTATTATGATTATCATTTGCATTATCATTATTACTGTAACTGACATTGTTATTTCATTAATATCATTATCATTATCATTATTTTTATCATTATCATTATCATTGCTATTCTCATCATTATTACCATTATCAATATCATTATTATTTCTATTATCATTATCAATGTCATTTATTGTCTTGTTACAGTGATTACATTTATATCATTTTCTAATACTAATGAAACGAAACGAAAGGTTTAATAGAAATTGAAACTGGTGTATGTTACGGCCTGTCCATAGCTTATCTTTTCTTATAATGCTTCCTCTCTTTCTCTCTATCTCTGTCTCTGTCTGTATGCCTGTCTCTGTCTCTGTCTCTGTCTCTGGCTCTCTCTGTCTCTCTGTCTCTGTCTCTGTCTCTGTCTCTGTCTCTGTCTCTGTCTCTGTCTCTGTCTCTGTCTCTCTCTCTCTTCCTCTCTCTCTCTCTCTCTCTCTCTCTCTCTCTCTCTCTCTCTCTCTTCTCTTTCTCTGCCTCTCTCTCCTCTCCTCCTCCCTTCTCTCTCTCTCTCTCTCTCTCTCTCTCTCTCTCTCTCTCTCTCTCT